CTCCAGAACAACACTCACAGAGGAACAAACCAACATCCTCAACCACGGACTAGGTTTCGTTTCGAGCAACAATATCATACACAAACACAAAATCGAAAACAGCATCAACAAGATCATTTGCGACCTCAAGATTAGAGATTTTATAGACACCCACCAACTCAACAACCACCACGACATTTTTCTCAACACACTCAACAAACATATCAAGTCCACATGGACGCCACACAACAACAAACTATCCCACAGATGCATCACCACCATCACCAAAATCGAGGACATTACAAAAAAATACATCACGAAAAACTTCACCAATAGCAACACATTGATCAACAACACAAAAAAACACAACATCAGCAAAAAACAACACTTACATCTAAAAAATCTAATCAACAATGAAAACATCATCATCCGCAGAGCTGACAAAGGATCAGTTTTCGTAATCCTCGATAGAAACAACTACATTCGGGAAGCGGAAATACAACTCTCGGACGCAAAATTTTATAAAAAAATCAACACACAAATTGACAACCGCCGGGAAATAATGCAATATCTTAACACTATGAAAGCCAACAAAATTATAACCAGCAAGCTACACAAGTGGCTCTCACCTTCAATTAACTTCAGGAACAGGTACTTCTACACACTACCTAAGGTACACAAGGAGAGAAGCAAATGGCTCGATGAATTTACTCCACTAGGAAGACCAATCGTGTCAGACACTCACTCCATCAACCAAAACCTGTCCATCTTCGTCGAAACACAACTGAAACTCATCACCCAACACTTACCCTTCATCACCAAAGACACATTTACATTCATCAATAACATCACCAAGTGTAGAACAAACCAACAACAAAGACTCGTCACGGCAGACATCACCTCACTCTACACAAACATGATCAACAAACGTTCCATCGCCATTGTAAGAAAATTCCTCAAGAAATACATGCCACACAATCCGTACAACTGCATGACTATTAAGTTCTTACAAATCTCACTCGACAACAACGACTTCATCTTTAACAATCAACAATACTTACAAACAAATGGATGCGCAATGGGAAAAATCTTCTCCCCCACACTAGCCAATCTCTATCTACATCACCTAGACGACACCCTCAACAAACACTTCAAACAACACATCAACGCATACAATAGATACATTGATGACATATTTTTCACATTCACCGGCACTACACAACAACTCAAAAAAATAATGGCTATTGCTAATAATCTTATCCCGTCTATAAAACTAACCTTTGAAACACACTCTGAACACATCAACTTTCTTGACACCACTATCTTTAAGAATATCCCACACTCACCCTTTTTACATTCAAAACCATTCTTCAAACAAACCAACACCTTCGATCTACTACACCACAACTCACACCATCCACCACACGCCTTCAAATCAATCGTCACATCACAAATCAAACGCTACGCATCCATCTCATCACTGTTCTTTGACTTCAAAGAGAGTAGCTTCAAACTTATCAACAGACTCAAGCAAAGAGGATATAATTACCAAAAACTCAAAAAACATTTCAAAGCCATCGCAGGGCAATACACAAAGATCTCACCAAAACCCAACAGACAACAACAACAACAACCCGAACAATGAAAACATGAACACCAACACAACCACTGACGACGACACCGACACACAAACTTCTAACATCACATGCGACAATGAAGAAGATGTAGAAGATAACGAACAAACCATCTACAACACCTTCATCAACGAAATTCTCACCAACTATAACGACCCAACCAATAGCAACACCTATAACTATAACGACACCGCAGAATCAGATAACCACAACAACAACAATAGCAACAATACCAACACTTACAATAACAATAGCACAACAGAATCTGATAACAACATTACAAATGAGATGACAAACAACCAAGACGCCAAGGAGAAGAACAACAACGACAACCAGAACAACAACGACGAAGACATTCGTCAAACCGGAAACAAAAACAACAACAACAAATTCATAATCGTTCGACCATACAACAGACAACTTAACTCATTCTACGAAGAAATCATCACCACTCTAATCCTACATGGATTTATCCAAAACCACAACGACATCCTACAAGCATACACAATCAACAAACCACTACACCGCATACTATTTAACACCCCCACTAAACACATAAACACACACCCATACTTACACATCCAACATCGTAATAATAACCATCGTTAACTAATAATAAACATAGGAACATAGAATGATAGAATCCAGTCATCTCGAGCCGTCGAATCAATACAGAAACAACATGTCAACCACCAACCAACCAACTACGACAACCACCAACCATTCAGTACCAACTATCTCAACATCAACTCGGAAGCATGATGATGTACTCAATCGTATTAAGGCTGTACTATATATTTTTACTCGTTCACACACACACACACATATATATATATATATATATATATATATATATTATATATATATATATTATATATATATATATATATATACATACACACCAGTATATTTTTATCTTCTCAGACTCCGTGCATAGAGAATATAGAGGCTAATAAAGATAGGCTTGATCGATTAAAAAATGTCGATGAAAAGATTGACCGGTTGATTGGTATTTTAAAAAATGTCCAACACTTCTTGGACAGATGTGGTCAAGAGGAATATGAATGAAGTAAACAAAGGAATAACTTCGGTTCGCAAAACAATCGAGGTTGTCAATGATTTTAATGAGCGCGAAAACAGCGTCGTACTCTTTAATTTTCCTGAGAATGAGACTGTGGTCAAGGATAGAGATAACGTTACGGGTTTCTTGATGTCGTTGTCCGATAATGCGCTGAAGCATGAAGAGTTTGTGAAAATAAATAGACAGGGCAGGAGGCTTGACTCAGCTACTTCACCGCGTCCAATAATAGTTAAATTCATCGATACGGCAATTAAATCAATGATTATGAAAAAGCTTTTTAAAATCAAGTTGTTGGATGCGAACATGAAGAGTGTGAAGGTTAGTGATGACCTGACTAAAGGATCAACGTGCCCGCCTGAAAAGTTTTGATCAACGATGCTAAGATAAGTGAATCCATCGATGCTGGTTTTTTATACCGAGTCAGAGGATCGGCAGGCCGGTGGAGGATTATAAAATATTCGAAACCTGCATCAAATCAAACTTAAATCTGGGTTTACTAAATATAAGGTCAATACGTTCTAAATATGATGCGGTTTATGAGTTGCTGTCTAATGGTATGGACGTATTCGTATTGACTGAGACATGGCACGGTTCATCTAATGATTTAACGATAAGACTGGTAAAGCCTGAAGAATTTGGTTATGTTGACTGCGTGCGACCTCGGGACCCAGGTCATGGTGGAATAATTGTTTACTTCAGAAAAAGTTTTAGAGTTAAAAAAATTGAAATACCGGTTTTCAATTCCTTAAAATATTCTGCGGTAAAACAAGTATTATTTTATTAGAGTATTTATAGACCGGGTTCAGCTACAATCACGCCTGCTTTTTTCAATGAAATCGAAATCATGTTGGAACAGGTATCGTTGGGTGGTGATTTTGTGATACTGGCTGGAGATTTGAACGTACACGTTGAAAGAACGGATGATGATCATGCTGCCAACCTTCGGGAAATCTTTGAACTATTCAATATGCGTAATAGAGTTTACTCATGTTCATGGTGGTACCTTGGATTGGTGGCTTCATCGATGGAATTTCCGGCATCTGCTTGTTTGGTGGGTCCTTGTGGTTTGTTTTCTGATCATGGTTTAGTTCAAGTTAAATTTCCTTTGGCTTTCAAGTAGCCGGTGGTTAGAAAAAAACTGGTTCGTTCATGGAATCGTGTAGATGATAATCAGTTCGCCACCTTAATACAAAACTCGCCAATCTTTGGACCGTTTGATTCATCTTATCCAGAGTTTTTGATCAAATTGTTCGAGAAAGAAATCAAAGCTATAGTAGACATTGTTGCTCCACAGCACTTGGTTGCATCCAGAAATATGCCAGCTTCACCGTGGTTTGATGATAAATGTAAGTTTGTAAGAAATCATGCAGAAGAGCTGAAAAAAGGTATCGTCGTGATCCAAACGCCATTAACAAAAAAAATTTCGCGTCTTGTGCGCGAATATAACACTCCATGCTCACTTAACATTGAGCGCCACTCTTAACATGGTTCAAGTTGAAAGTAAAAATAATTCTTTCAAAATTTGTTTTCTCGGTAACTATAAATGCTACAATATTAAATTTGGTACTATTTTAATCAGCAAATTTTGCTTTATAAGAAAAAGTAGTTTATATACAAAAAAATTTTTTTTGAAAAATCGTGCGACCTGCTAGCTTTATTCAATGCTATCTTGCGTCGAATAGATTCAGACCAGTGATAGGAGGACCTGCCTCTGATTTTACCAGTGTTTATTGTGTTTACACTTTAACAAAAAAAATTTCATTGAGTCTCTCAGGAAAAAGAATATTTTGTTTTCTTCGAAAGGAAAAATTACTAGAGATATTTAATCGATTCCAATCGATCTAGCCCCAGGATGCTCTGGAGGACAATCAATAAGGTTTTATGCACAACCAATTCATCAAATTCACCTGATATGTCTGTTGATTTAAACCCAGATGACTTTGCAGAATTTTTAAAAATAAAGTAGATACAACTCTTGAAACAACGAAACATTCCAAAGAACCAATAATTCAACCGGCGCATCTCGATAATGAAATGTTGTTTTCATCTTTCAAACAATATTCTTGTGATGAGATTCGCAAAATTGTTCTTGATTCACCAATGAAGTATTGTTTGTTTGACTGTCTACCAAAAAAACTGTTTCAAGAGTACGTTGATCTGTTTCTTCCGTTTCTGACATTTTTCATCAACTTATGTCTAGCATCTGGTTATTTTCCGAGGTCGTTAAAGTTTGCAATTGTCACTCCGTTATTGAAAAAACAGACTCTAGACAAAAATATATTAGCAAATTATAGACCAGTATCAAATCTGCCATTTTTATCAAAAGTTAGTGAGCGAATCGTTCAAAAACAGCTTCTGCATTATTTCAATCAACACAACTTTCTGCCAAAATATCAATCGGGTTTCAAAAGACTTCACTCAACTAAGTGTGCATTGATTGATGTTGCATCAGAGTTGTTTGCAGCTATGGATGGTCAAAATATCTCAGTTCTTGCTCTACTCGACGTCACTGCAGCATTTGATTGCGTTAGTCATGCGATTTTACTGAAGAAACTTGAAATTCTTTTGGAGTCTCAGGAGTTGCACTGAAATGGTTATAATCATATCTTTTAGGAGGTAAACAACAGGTTTCATTCAACAATAAAGCATCAAATATCTATGAACTCAACCATGGTGTACCTCAGGGTTCTGTTTTGGGACCACTTCTGTTTCTACTGTACACGTCAAATGTGTTCGATTTGATAAAGTCACTCAATTTAAAGTATCACGCATTTGCTGATGATATTCAGATTGTGGCAAGTGGATCGGCTGCTTTGTTCCAAGAAACCGTTGACAAACTTGTTCGATGTCTGTTGGCCGTGGAGTCGTGGATGATTGATCATCGACTGTAATTGAATCACGTCAAAACTCATTTTTTGCCTGTAGGAACGTGGCAGCAAATTGCTAGATTGCAAATTGACTCTGTCAGAATCAACAACTCTGATATCTCATTCTGCAAGTCCGACCGAAATTTAGGAGTTATTTTTGTTAAAAACACGTCAATGAATGATCATATTAATGTTTTGACGAGTGAACGTCACAATCAGCTTCGAATGTTGAGAACAATAAGACGTTCATTAAATGAAACAACTTTAAAAAGTCTAGTTCATGCATTCATTCATTCAAGACTAGACTATTGCAATAGTCTTTTTTATGGTGTATCAAAAAAATTAATTTCTAAATTGCAGTCAATCCAGAACAGGACTGCTAAGCTTAATGTTGGAGGCTCAAAATTCGAACATATTACGCCAATACTACGTGAGCTCCATTGGCTTCCAATATATAAAAGAATAACTTATAAATTGGTTGTAATGATGTTCAAAATTGTTAACGGAGTGGTATCTACATATCTAGTTGAAAGATTGTCTGTTAAAGCAACGCAGTTGGGACGTTTGCGATTGAGATCCGACTGCACGCATCTACTGGATGCACCTCGAACTCAGTGACTTGTGGAAGAAATTTTGCAGTGGCTGGACTCATGGTCTGGAACAGTCTGCCTCCTAGTCTTCATCTACCTGGACTTTCACTTTCTGCAAACAATTGAAAGCGCACTTGTTTAAACATCATTTTTATTCTTGTATTTGACGATCAACTTATTACGATATGTATATGATATATATATATATATATATATATATATATATATATATATGGGTTCAGACTGTCGTATATACAGTTATTAAGAAATATCACTGCATTTCCCGTATTGTTGAGTTTGTAACTAAAATTTCCAATTTTTCGAACAATTTTTTTATCGAAATTATTCAATTTATTCGAATAAATAATAAAATTTTTAATTAGTTTAGACTGCATTTTTCATATATACCTTTACATAAAAGCCTTTTTTGGTAACCTTTACCATCATTAGTGTAATAGAGTTTGTGATAATGTTATATGAAATACCATTATATATATATATATATATTATTGGTAAACCATTATCCGCCATAGGCCAGACGTACGTTTCTTCTCTTCGGGTAATGGTTTACCAATAATGTATGTATATATACGATATATGTATGTATATATACGATATATGTATATATATATATATATATATAAATCTGGTAAAAGACCATAATTAATGCAGTAATTCATGCAATCTACCGAATTTCTAGCGTTGGATAGTTTAATTCTTGTCCTTATTATTTATTTTAATAAAGTTAGAATAATATAGAGTTTTCCAATTCATTTCCGAGTGTATAGGAACTATTTCGATTCTTCGATCATCTTCAGCACTTGTCTTGTTTCAGTTTATATAGAGATTGTGTTTAACCCAGTACTTATTGCAGTTTATATAGGGAATTTGTATAACCCAAGGCCCTTGTTCCTGTGATTAGCATTTTATTGCTATTAGTGACTTTATTAATTTTAACAAAGTCACTAATAGCAATAAGTGCAAATCTAAAAATTTACTAAGTCACTAAAAGCAATAAATGCAAATCACAGGAGCAAAGGCCTGGGCTACAAAAATCCAAACGAGCATGATGAAAGAATAAACCAAAGTATTCAATGTGTCTTTGGTTAAACATTTTCTCATTTCTTTTTCAGCAAACGTAGCTGAAATGTGCAAGATTTAAACAAAGACTTTATTTGTTAGTTCATCGACAGCTTGGAATCCAGAATTAAACCAAGCACTAGAAAAATTTATAACATTGTGCCTTCTTTCTGGCTCTTTTTTATTAGCATTCAAAAAACGCTGTTGTAAGCCCTATTTTGAAAAAAGTACATTGAACGACAATAAACTTTCAAGTTATCGGCTTCTGTCATACCTTGTGCTTTTGTCGAAAGTCTTGTACGTATAGTCGTTCAGCAACTTGTCGATCTTTTAAACACCAATAGTCTTTTTCCGGTTTACCAATCTGGTTATCGTCGGTTTCTTATTTATTTTAACTAAAATTGGACAGGTTTTCTTGAATAATTAAATGTTATTGATCAATTAAAAAAATAATTTTTATATTTTTTTAATGATCATAGTTAGTTATAACACATTATTTTTTCATTTTTGTCTTGATTGTGAAAATCAAAACCCGCCCGCTGATTAAGGATAGGTTGATTCAATAGTTTGCTGTCTAATGCTTTATGATATTTGGCAATTCACTCCAGGAGGTTTTCAAATTGCATTGAAATTAAATGTTTTTTTCAGATAATTAACATAAATTATGGATACATTTCACATTTTGGAGTTAATTGGAAAAGGCTCTTTTGGCAAAGTTTACAGAGGCAGAAAGAGGTGTTCTGGTTCTAATGTAGCATTGAAATTTATATCCAAAGTTGGAAGAAAAGATAAAGATATAATAAACTTAAAAAAGGAAATTGAAATCATGAAAAATATTTCTCATCCTTACATTGTAAACCTGATCGACAGTTTTGAGACACCAAGAGAAGTTATTGTAGTGACTGAGTTGGCTGAAGGAGATTTGTTCCAAGTTTTAGAAGACGATAATATTCTCCACATCAGTGAAGTAATCGTTAATTATCATTCACCAAATATTTAAATATAAATTAACCTAACCTAATGAACATTGAGCAACCAGTTTTTCAAACGAGTCATAATATGTAACGAATGATTTGACTACTTTTTGTATGATAGATTGCAGAGCTAATCATTTGTTTTTTCTTATTTCCATTTTTCTTTCAACCTATACTTCTGCTTCGTGCAAAAGTCTTTTTGGCATTTTTCTCTTATTCATGCACAGTCCAATTACACAAGCCTATCCGCAATTTTTTCTACAACCTTACACCTTTGGATCATTTTGCAAGCTTAATCACTTTCTGTCCAACTAATGAAGACTGTAGTTATCTCTGATTTTATGATGTTTCAATTTTTTGCTGCACTTACAGTTCTATTCCTGTTTTTCAGGGAATGTTTCCAATGCATTAAGTTTTTTGGTTTTAGTTTTTACTATGTGATACGTTTTTTTTAATTTTTGCGTTATTAAATCTTACAATGGTAATTTGAAGCAAATTAGGCAATTAAAGCTGTTACTTTTAAATAAATATTGTTTTTCCTGGAAATTTATTAATTGATTTGCTTTGTTTTTTTGACAGATCCAAACTATTGCTAAGCAGTTGGTTCTAGCTCTTAATTACCTTCATGCAAATCGCATTCTGCATAGAGACATGAAACCACAAAATATTTTGTTGGCTAATGGTAATGTTAAACTATGTGATTTTGGATTTGCTCGGAGTATGAGCCAACATACTCTAGTTTTGACTTCTATTAAGGTTGAATCAGTTATTAATTTAAATATATTTTTTCCATTACTATTTCAATTTTTTGATCCGATGTTTACAAAGTTTTTTTTTTCATAGGTGCTGAAAATTTTGATTTTTAGCTGTGAACAAACATTAAAATACGACATTGAATCCATTCAACTGGTCGTCATTAATAAATTAATATTGTCAGCAGCAGATGGTTAAAATGTAGTTACTAGAAGAACAGCTGGATAGCATGAAAGATAGAATATAAAAATAGACTAAATCACTTTCTTCTATATGCATTGGCATCAAGGCAGATAGGCGGCAGGATGTATAATATTTCATGTAAATCCACATTTCGTCAATTGTGTTGTTTAGGTTTTTTATCGTCGTTTCGGACCACCAACAAATAATCTTGCATGTTTTACATTGCCGATAAAAGCCCACACAATGGAAAAATTGTTGTTCAAGATGCGGATGGCCTGTCCAATCCAGCAAAAGACTGCATGAAACATAATGATTACAGTACACATTGTAACTATATATGTTCAGTGACTGTAATTCAATTTTCATGAAATTTCCATTATTTGGACGTTTGCAAACATTGCCTGCGACTTTATTCCCATTAATGCAATGAAAGAACTTTTTTAGTGGTGTTTCTTTGGTGATTGGAAAAAGGCCAAAGATTAAAGGTCTCTTAAACTATTCCTAGTTTAAGAGGAATCAAAACGCACAAACATCGTACATGAATATATGCTAAACAACGCCTCGCACACGAAGCGTGGTGGGCGGGAATCTTTTTGTCGTGTTCAAACCCGGTCACAGCACGCAATGAGAAGCAGAACCGGGCGACCTTAACTACGACGTTAACCATCAAGCCGCCCAATTGTACATCAAAACATTGCTTCCACTAAATTTTGGTAAAGCCAAAAAATGTGGAAATATAAATTTAAAATGTTTTACATTAACAGAATTATAACTTGTAAACAGATTTTAATTAACATTTTAATGATAATCGTTAAATTTTTCTTGGTCATAAATAATTTTACAATTTAAAATAATGTGGTCAGCAATTGATATAAAGACGAAATTAATGTTTTTAATATAGCCATGACTATAACGTTATTATAATTAAAGCATCTTGAAATTATTTCTATAGGGTACCCCTTTATACATGGCACCTGAATTGCTGAATGAAAGTCCTTACAGTCATTGTGTTGATTTGTGGTCAGTCATGTTTTCCTTTCATTATATATAATATATGAATGTACCACTCAAAAAATCTGTGAACATGAACATCCACTGAATTAAACACATTCACTAATTTTGACCCACAGTAACGGACACCGTCAACTTCAGAGAACAGTTTCTGAAAAATAAATTTTTACATAATACTTTACCTGCTGACGTAATATTTTAATATACTATGGAGTTTTGCATGTTTCCGCATTTCCAAAAAACCTAATTTTGCCAACTCCAGAAATTGCGGTATAACTGAAGCAAATCACAGATTTTTGAAGAATTCGTTGTTTACTTCCATCTTAATTAAATAAAATGCGAGTTTCGTTAGTAAAAGAGCATGTCGCAAAAAATTTTCACATGATCAAACTTCAATCCACCAGAAGCACGCTTGGCGCACGGTTCTGCACTGACCGCAACTTGCGCATAGATTTTTGACTGTTGCAGTAGTCCAATGGATTTCTCTTGCTAAAGATAAACTCAGCTTCAATTGGGCCATTTCCTTAAATTTTAAGCTTACTCGCATCTTAGCGGGATAACAGCTTTAATAACAACCTCCTATTTACATTTAAACGATTTATGCATTTGCTACCATTATCTGCAGTATTATATTATATTTTATCATTGTTATTGTAATAACAGTTTTACTTTATCTCGTTCATATGCAGGTCTCTAGGTTGTATTTTATATGAATGTTTTGTGGGTCAACCTCCTTTTATGGCATCAAATATTTTTCAACTTGTACCACAGATTTTGAATAATGACGTAGTGTGGCCTACAAACATGCCAATTAATTTTAAAAGTTTTTTGGTAGGACTTCTTATGAAAGACCCGGCATGTAGACTATCGTGGCCGAAATTGATGCATCACCCATTTATTAACAGTTGATCTTTTTTTTAACTATATAATTATATATATATAACGATTTTATTTTATTACGAAGCATTGAAACAATAATTTTACACAATTTGTTATTTGTTGAAATGTTTTCTCTACAAATTTTGTAAACGTTAGTGAACCGGGCGATAAGGAGTAAAATCATCGTCAAAATTACAGCGGTTAATCATTTAATCGATGATCTCCTTCGTTCTTACCTGCTGACTCAAGCTGATTCCCAACAACTACCTGTCCAAAGCACTCCATTTCAAATACTTTCGATCTCTCCATGGCTTTTCTTTGTTGCACAAGTTTCGCCTACGCTCAACTGTAATAAAACCCGGGTTTCTAGTTTTTTCAATTTTGTTTTATTAGTTCTTTAACTACAAGACGTTGTCATGAAAATTAACCAAGTTGTTGACCACTTCTAGAACCATCTGACCTGAATATTTTGACGATTGGGAATAATAATGGGTATCATCTTGGTTATCAATATCAATATCAATGACCATACAAGCTCTTTGAGCTTCTGCGTCTCCCACTTATAAAGACTTATAAATCAATAAATAAAATCGACGCTGTCATATGTAGTGACGGCTGACTATTAATTAAATTAAACAAAAAACTTTTGTATTGAAAGAATCGAATTCTTCATTTTTTGTTTGTGTTGACTCAAAATATCATTTCGACCTTTTCGTCAAAAGAAAACAAGAGATAATTTCAAAGGCAATGTAATCAATCAATCAGTCGTGATGGTCGAGCGGTTAAGGTGCTGTTTCGCAGTGTATGTAGTAACCAGGTACGAATATGACAAAAAGATCCCCGCCTATCCCATGCTTCGTATGTGATGCGTCATTTAACATGTATTCATATACGATGTTCGGGTGTTGTTGATTCCTCTGAACCTAGGAAAGGTGTAATCATGGATATATCCATGGATATAATAGCCCTTTTTTTAAACTTATTAATCGATCAATAAACCATTCAATCAAATATATTTATAAGGCACAATTCAATTAGCCCGAACAGCAAATTATATTCAAACAGTGATTTCCAAACACCCACGATTTCATTACGAGAAGTCTGTGAATAGGCATTTTTCGTCTACCACTAACCATCCATCCATCAGTAGCATTTAAATTTTTAATGATGCGAACTAACGATGAAAAACTGTTTTTATTCAATTCAAACTGTCAAATCGCCATTCATCGGCGCCTAGCATGACAGGACTTGTCACCCATCCTTTGCTCTTCATGAGGCACACAAACTCGGAGAAGCTGTCCTCCACGTACTCCTGGGAATGGCTGAGCACATCATTTACATTTCCTAAATACAAATAAATCTGCTTTCATTATTTGTGAAAATGTTCAATTTTAAAACTTTAACGTTAACATCGACAATTAAATCTCAAAAAAATATTCGGCATGCAGTGTTGCGTTCTTGATGTCTGATAAAATGTTCTAGAATGTGCGTCTATTAATATGTCGAGGTAGCATGCACACATTGATGACTACGACATCAATGATAAAAAATATTGCACAGAAATTCAACATAGTTTTCAATTCTATTGAAATTTGATTAACGTGAAGTAAAAAATTTTTGAAAAAAATTTTTTGCGTTGATAAACATCACACAGTAATAAACAAAAAGAAAAAACTTACTAGAAACGCATGCTCTGATAATGGAATCAATTTTTTTAGATGAGAATACCGATCGTTTCTGAATAAAAAATAAAAATGACATCCTGTTGATGTTATCAATCAATCAATCTTCGTTTTGCGTCCAGAGACCCGGTTTCCCGAGGTGGGACGTTGTTTTCTTTGCCAACAAATTTTTGCGCCACATTAGACGATCAGTTGTATCTTGGCACCCCTTGACCACTTAAGGCCTGCTGGGGACTAGGGACCGTTGTTTTTCTTTGTGATGGCATAAGAGTAATTTGGGGAAAAGTTTTTACATCCGGACACCCATCCTGACGACAACCACCAGTTTTAAGCGGTGGGCCTAGCCTTTCGCTTAAAAGCACGCAAGGCAGCGTGGATGCAGTTTTATGTCATGCCCAGTACCATAAACATAAATTAAACAGTTGATGTTACTGCATGTATAAAATATTATCTTACTATCTTAATTAATTTGAATTAGTGACCAAACATTAACACTTCAAAATTTTGAACTTATAAATGGAACATCATTATAAAACTTAACTTTCATGGGTGTGTACTAGGGTGGTTCAAAAAAAATTTTTTTTTAATATTTAAGTGCACACCCCCTATATTTTTTCCTTAGCTGAAAGTTAGCATGTGTGCAAAATTTCATTCAATTCTGACAATATTTAGAGGTTGCTCAATGACATTCAGTTTTTCACCATATTTAGCATATAAGCGAATATTGGTCAGTGCTACAATTTTGTGTTTAATGTTTATTTTGCAGTAAAATGAACAACATTCTTGTGAAAATCATGTAAGATTTAACAGTTCTACAAATTTATACTCAAAATAACAAAATATTCAACACTAAACAAACAGTTCTCACAAGGTAAAGGCAACTTGATTATGCCAAACGAAAGTTCAGTACTGTTAATCTTTGATTGAGAAACTGAAATTAACTTGAGGCAATTAATGTACTCAGTTTATGTTTTTCTGTTAATCACTCATAGTATGTCAGACTCAAAACATAGCAGCAGCTGCTTGAGCACTGGCTAATGTGCGCTTAGATGAGTCCGGAATACGTGTTCGATTGTCCTCCACCACCTGTATCAGTTTTTGCAGTTCTGTTTCATTTTTGGTTATAGACTGGTTAAAATTTGTCATGAGTGCCACAGTGCGTTCTGCAGTGTCATTAACGACCTTAAGTGACTTCACAACATTTGCTACTTTTTAAAATAAAGGAAGATCATTCCATGAGTCTGGTTCAGTTTCACGCAAGATAGCAACATCCATTCCAAGTGATAACAATGCAGCACGAGATGTACCTGATACCAGATCATGCAGTGGTTTGCTTTTCACCTGTTCCAGTTCAGTTGCAGGATATTTGACACCTCGCACACTCCAGTCAGAATCTACTGCAGTCATTGCTTCCACAATCAACTGCTTCTCAGCATTTGCAACCTTATTTAAGAACAATGACAGCCAAACCATTTCTGTACCAAGATACCACAGATGATTCTTCAACTTTTTAGTGGCAGCACTTGCTACATTCTTGTTGATTTCAGAGTATTGTTCAATTCTGCTCAGAAGTTGCAGGTCATTGACTGGTGCATCACTGGGTATTGGGCACAACATCCATGCTGGCACATATATATGGGTTGCAAATAGGCAGAATTCAGTTAAACTTTTTGTTTCAGTTGCTGTTAGCTTGAATTCATTGCGGAACAAATACATTTTGAGACAGTAGATCACTTTGGCCATCCATCTGGCCATGTGATATGCTCCAGGAACACGGAAATGGTACTTGCCATCAGTCTGCATTGGATAACCCAGCACTAAGAGACAGAGTTCAACCAACTCCTTGTAATCCTCTCGTGGGATGTATGAGCTGTCAGCTGAAAGAAAACATGTCAAAGATGGTACTATGTCAGACCGCATCATCTGTAGCAATGAGTGGTTCATCCTGTCATCATCAAGTGGCTTGTGGTTTGACTGATTTATATTTGGCCAGTAGGCTCAAAATCTTTCAAACATTCCAATGTTGGGGCCACGGCTTGGACCAAACAGAACTGTGAAAACTTCACCGATTATCAATTCATGTACATGATGACGACAAGCAAAGTGCAAGAGATTTCTATGGAGCAGTTTCTCCAGCAAAACACATGCTCCACTTGACGTCCCAGTATTGGCAGCAGTAGTATCAAAGCACATGCCTATAATGTCTTCACTAACGTCCCATAATTTGAGCAACTGAAAAGTTGCATTGGCCTGTGTTAGTGCAGTGCTTGATGCAATTTTAACAATTCCTAAGATTTTCTCCACATTACAGCCAGTCACAACAACAGCCAGTCTATCAGTTCTGGAGTGTGGATCATCATTCATGATCTTCCCATCCCAGTGAACCAGAAGGGGGTTTCTGTCACGATCCTGAAATTGTTGACGAATACTGCTGTCAATGGTTGATCGATGTTGCTGTCGTTTACGATGAACTGTGGAACGTGACAGAGATGTATCCCTGATGTCTTGCCCACTAGCTTGTGCAATGGCTGCTGCTAATACTGTGAACTTTTTATCTGACAGGTTTATTCTATCCAGTGCTGAAGCAACATCTGGCGACGACAACATATCCTGCAAATGTTCGTGTTTTTTTTGCTGGCACTGCTTGGCAGACTGTCTTTTACTTCACTGATCTGCTTTTTGTAGTACACTAGAATTTCAATTTCATAGTTGTCCTCTGTGTCCTGCTGTTCACTATCACTGTCATCAGAACTAGATAAATGTAGTGAGGTACTTTCTGTCATCCGCTCCTGCTCTCGCTCTTTTCTCTCTTCTTCTTTGCATTTACGTTGTTCTATGCGCTCTTCTTTCTTGGTCAGGTCTTTATCAATGCCACTCATTTGCATTCGTCGACTGCCCCTCTGGTCTTCAAGAAATTCTATATCTTCCTGAATTCGGATGAGCTGCATGGCGTGTTGGTGAGCAATATCAAACAGCATGTGCTCCTTTTCTTCAGATTCCTTCTCTCGTGCTCGTTGTGCTTCACTTTGTCTGTTTTTGTTCTTTTTTATTAGCTTGTAGTCATCAACTACCGACTTTACTTTTTCTACAACATGAGTATGGTAGGTTGTTGGTATTCTAGCCTTGTTCCACATGTCCATGACCTTATCTGACGACAGTTTTGCACTTTCAGGCACAGTTTTCTTTTCTACTTGATGATAATAAAAAAACATTCTCAGGACATCACCTGTTGTAGGCAATACATTTACTGGAAGTTCACTTTGTAACTGTCCAATCAGCCATATGTTAGTCATGCTGCGTGTTGTAAGAGCACCACAGTTTGAATTAGAAGCCATTTTATACGTAGTTAAATATGTACAGTACCGGTATTTCAAAATCACCTCAAATAACTAGTAAATCGACACAGTTAAATTATGCAGATATTTATCCTATTTTACTTTTTGCAGACAACTAATATGGTGACCATAGAATATTTAATAATAATAATGCATTTTAAAATATCTAATATCTATGTTTTGAATTAAGTAACCAACTTTTGATACTTTTCCAGTTATATTTGTATTTGGTTTCGAAATAATGAATTATCACATTTTTATATAATTTTGAGATGCATGAGCAACCTCTAAATTTAATTTGATTTGTCTTATTTTTGGTTTGTAAGTTTTTAGGACCCAATGGAAACTTTTCAGAGGGTGTGCACTCAAATCAGACAAAAAATTTTTTTCCCCATTCAAATGTGAACCACCCTAGTGTGTACGTAGATATAACTTCATTTATTATACACAAGCACGTGTTTTTACGTGCAGCCTATGTATTAAAAATTGTTTACAAAAACGTATGCACCGTGCACCTTTATGCCATGTTTAAAAATTTTTATTTGGTTGCTGACGGTGGTGATGCATTGAACTTGTGCTCACCTGCATCTAAACGTTTCTTTAACACAATTTCATATTTTCCTACTGACTAATAAAACAAAATTTGCCATATTATGGTGTTTTAAAATCCTTAACCGATACTGATACACCATTCAAAACCAATTTTACATCGGTGATTTACCGATGGCGATTTTATTTTTTAAAATACCAATGCATCGGCACTGAATTTTCAATCGATCGACATATGTAACGCCCATGTCGTGTATGCAACAATATCACTGCATTTTCAGAATTGAGGATTTGTAACTCAACTTTTTTATTCTACCAATTGTAATTTTATCTTCGTTAATCTACTTTGTAATAAATAAAGTTCTTGATACCATTATTAGATATTTTATTCCAAGGTGAGCCTTAAATCAATATTGACACCCAGACTTGAAGCGCTTGAAGAAAACTTGACTGTAACATCCTCAATGCATAGAGAAGATGCATTTGTTCTGGAGGGTTGTTTCCAGGTTCCTATGATAAACAATTTTTTCAGACTCTGATTAAGTTTCAGTGCATTGTTTTCCATCCAAACAATAACTCTTGTTAAAAAACGTCAGAATGTGGTTTCGACGTCATCAACTTCAGTTAGCGGGCGGATGATAATCATTTGTGTGTCGTGTGCCAAAGTGTGACTTGGCGAATATCGAACCCAAAACTGACGTTTGCAAAACATCCCACTTTATATGTTGTATTCTAGACAAAGTATTTCATATAAAACTTGATGAGTTCGATTAGACACATGCGATCTGAACCGCATATGCACCAAACTTTTGATAAAATTGCAAGAACAAAATATCATGTCTACACAGTCGAAAGCTGTCTCGCAAGCAGCAATACTCGTTGATTGCCCATCGTTTCGCAGAGTATTGGGAACACAAGCAACAGAATTGTTTCTATCGAGTGATAGATGATCCTCTGTATCCCGTCCTGACTGATGAAAAGGTAACAAACTGTTCTAAAATAAATATTTCAACAACTCTTCAGTGACTATCTTTCAATTACTTTTGATACAAAACGAAGGTTTGATACCGGTCTGTAATTATTTATTATTAATATCGTAGATGTCAACATTTATTTTTTAAAAGGTGAAATGACTACTGCATGTTTACATGATACAGGAACAGTGCTAACGTTTAAGCATATAAATTGATAACACTGTTGAACTTTTGAAAATAACTTAATGATTTTTTTGAAAAAATGCGTAGAGACAATCAAATCCATTAGACATTATTCTCATGTGACCCCGGAAGAAAATATTAGCCAACCCTTGGTCGAAAACATCCTACCTCGAAAAATATCTCGGAATTTTAAAGATTTCGTAATTGTTTAGCCCTCAATTGAAAAATAGAAGAACAGCCTATTCTATAAATTACCTTAAATATTTAAAAAAGGCAAACAAAAATCGAAATTTAAAAATGTCAACACTTTCCATTTTTGTTATAAATACAAAAAACAATTTATAAACAAAAAATAAAAAAATAATCTAACCGCGTTACACGATTGAGCGTAGCAAAATTGAATGACGTGAGCGTGATAAGAGGCTTTCAATTGGTCCATCCAACATGATTTTGTTGACAGAGCAAGATAAATATTACCTTGTAAAATTATAGTTGTATATCTAAAATTAAGACTAAATTTAAAAATAATTGTTTGCTATAAATTATTTATTCTATTTAAATGACTAAATGAACACAAGTGCAATATCAAAATTCCAACATAGCTCAGTCTTTCAATCAAATTTTGTTTTGCTTCGATATCCAATAAAGTTCCTTCTAGATACATAATAAGTCGGAAATTCTGAAACTTTAGCAATCAACCTCCCAGCAGACTTAAAGGACTTGAAGACAAAGTTACAGAAGTCAATTTTTGTGTTAACAAAACAGTTCACCAGAATTTTTGCACACTCTTCTGTGTGATAGATAACATCTGATTGAATTATTCTTTGTAAGGTGTTCGATGTTAGCATCCGGGCCAGGAACTATACAAAAGTTGATGATCCATTCTAATAAGTCACAAAATATTACGTAGACTGATCAGTGAACAAGTTGAATGTGGCTTGATTTGATTTGAAGTTTATGTTTAAAATGTGGTAGACTTCTTATATTATTAGAAATTATTTATATTTTTATATTATATTATCATTATAAAATTATATTATGTTATATACTAGATAAGGTCCTATATAATTATAATATATAGGACCTTGCATTATGACTATAATATATATAATAGAATATATTATAATTATGTGTATATATAATTATAATCTATATAATGTATATAAAAAGATCAAATTTAAAATTATTAGATCTAATCTTTTTAGTTGACTTTTTATATAAAAAAACCTAATTAATTGTCAAATTTTAATATTTTTGTTCTTTCTTGAATTGATGAAAAATCAGTATTGAATTTTGATTTATTTTAGATCATCTAGAGTCTTTAAAAAGAGAAATCACATTCACAACCTTTCCATCTTTCCATTATGTGATTATTTTTCTTTTTACAGTTTATTTGTAAATGCTATAAAAAAAGATCATATAATATTAAAACATATCAGTCTCCAGTTAGACTGATGCCATTGACAATGCTCTATAGTGGAAAAAGTCCTGACAACAGTCACCTTGTTGTGGGTATTTTTTTTTCATTTGTCACCCAGATTTACATATATACTATTAATTTTATATTTACTGGCTTGTGCATGAATTTTTCTGTCTCAGGATTTTTAGAACAATTTTTTTTAGAAGAAAAGTAGAACTTTTATTGGTATAATGTGGAATGTAAAATATTTTTGTATATAAGGTTGTATATTGTAAAAGTTCAGATGTCAAAAGAATTTTAACTTTGGGTTTTATAATTATTCATCAAATTAATAATTTATTGAAATTTATTTTAAAAATTTCATTGTAACTACTATGATTTATGTCATGCCCAGGATTGATGGTGTGCATCCACACTGCCTTGCGTGCTTTTGAGCGAAAAGCAAGGTCCACCACCGCTTAAAACTGGTGGTTGTTGTCAGGATGGGTGCCCGGATGTGAAAACTTTTCCCCAACTTACTCTTATGCCATCACAAAGAAAAACAACGGCCCCTAGTCCCCAGCAGGCCGTAAGTGGTCAAGGGGTGCAAAGAATCCCTGAGAAGTATGCAATAGCGGAGGGATGTTGCAGAAAAATTCAGAATGGCCCCTCTCTGGTACTTTTACTTGGAATGCTCAATGTTGGATCACTGACTGGCCGCAGCATGGAAATCGCAGAAATGCTCGAGCGTAGAAGGAAACCCGATGAAAATCAAATGGTGTTTGTCATGTCAACTCAGACAAAGAAAAATATAAACTATTCTGAAATGGTCAAAAGACGGCCAAAAATGGTGTTGGAATTTTTGTCAGAGAACCGCTAGCCCAAGAAGTACTGGATATTAAAAGGATTAATTCACGTCTTATGTGGATCAAGCTTCGCATAGAAAAGCAAACAATGATTATTTTTTCTGCATATGCACCACAAACAGGCAAATCAGAAGAAATGAAAAATGACTTTTGGACTGCATTCTCTGACACCATCTCAACAATACCAAAATCTGAAACAATCCTGATTGGAGGCGATCTCAATGGCCACGTTGGAGAGAAAACAGATGGTTTTGACAACGTACATGGCGGTTTTGGCTATGGAAAACGGAATGAAGATGGCAACTGCATTCTTGAGTTTGCTGAAAGTAACGGGTTTTGTTTACTGGCCACATATTTTAGAAAGAGGTTGGAACATCTCATAACATACAAAAGTGGACCATCAGCCACGCAAATTGATTTCTTCGCTGTCAAGCAATAACACCGAAGGCTATTTAAAAACGTCAAAGTTATACCTGGCGAATCATGTGTCGCTCAACATAGACTCCTTGTTGCAGACCTGGTTGTCGAACTGTCAAAACATAAGTCTAAACAAATGCCTCAGAGAATCAAAACGTGGAAGCTGAAAAGCAATATTCATCGAGAAAAATTTTAACAGATTGTCGCCATATAGTTAGACCACCAATCGCAAGCCAGTACAGATTGGAGTACATACAAAACAGTTTTGATGAACGCTGCAACTACAGTTTGTGGGAAAATTGGTACAAAACGTCAGCATGAACGTGACACTTGGTGGTGGAATGACAGTGTACAAAATGCAATTGCTGAAAAGAAAGTTGCATACAGACAATGGCAAAAATCAAAGTCTGTTGATGACCATAAAATTTTCCGTGTGAAGAACAACTATGCAAGACGTCAAGTTGCACTGGTTCGGACAGATCAGTGCAGAGAAAGGCTCACTAAAAGCAAAGGTGAACAAATGAAATCTCTGTATCGTATAGCAAAACAAGCAAAGCGCACGAAAAAAGACATAGTTGGTGCCTCATGTATTAAAAATGACAAAAAATGAGA